AAGAGAGGTGGAGGACTGAGGAATGAGTGAGAGACACTCATTTTAACTGTTGGTTCACTTCTGCAGCCTCAGAGTCTTTTCTTACACCACCAACACATGTAAGGCAGCTTCCTGGTGATCTCTTCAGGACAGGGAAACTCTCTCACACACACAAACACCATGATAGCCTCAGTGTAAGCCAACTATACTGTGTAATACACACATCAGTGAGGATACCATGGAAAAGTGCCTCAAGTTGGATCAAGCACGGATCATCATCGTGTTGTAAGCTTTCAACGTGGTGAAGCAGCAGTCGTGTCCTGCTGGAAATTGTGGTAAACTTTACTGAAGGCGAAAGTGCAGAGGCCTAAAGAGGAAGAGAGGTGGAAGACTGTTGTCAGAGTAAGTCTGCATGGAAGTTTACTCTGACGTGTTTGAGCTCATCGGCCTGCTTGTGTTTGGAGTATTGAAGGCAGATTCGACCTACATTGATTACAGTTATTATACAGAACTGGGACATAAACCCTCCAAATCCAATGCATCCTTCACACCTGCTGCCCCACTGAAATACCTCATGGTTTGTTTGTTGACAAGAGGTGTGACACCATTTGCCCCTGCGTGTGCTGTTGTGTGATACGTGGCACCGCTACACCTACCTGGTCTCTGAAGGAATAGTGCACCCTGCAGTGGACAAAGCTGTCTGTTACAAGATGAAGTGCGTGGACAGTTAGAGCAGTTTCAGCTTCATGTTCGCCGTTTAATACAGCCGATGAAAACATTTCGGTAATTGCAACCTAATCATATCTGGGAATATTGAAATTAGTCTAGATTATTTATTTCGAATGAGTGCTACACAGCCTTAATGTAAAATAAATCCTATAGTCAGTGTTATCCATGCATAGATGTTTACATTACAACTTACCAAAACCCTCCTGCTGGAAAAGAACAAAAAGGCCACCATGTCACATCAACTTTTTATGAGTTTTTATTTATTTATTTATTTGATTTTTAAGTGTTTTAATGTTTTTTTCTTCAAAAAAATCCTGAGGTATTCACAATATAATGGCATTTATTCTTTTTGAAATGAGGCTGGGGGGGTTGAGGGGATAAAATACAGTCAAAACACAACAAAGAGGAAAAACAGAAATGAAAAGGCAGTTACGCTGCGTCGATTGATGCAACTCGACACAATAAATCCATGATGTTGTACGTACAAGAAGCTTTTAAACTGCAACAGCGTAGACTAAAGTCAACCCTTCCCCCACCCTGCACACTAGCAAAGTCATGCAATCTAGATTGCATACAGGAGAAAAAAAAAAAAAAAAAAAAGAACACAAGCGACAAACCTCAACGATGTTTTCAAAGCAGGCGTGTCCCACCTCGCTAACAGAGGTAGGTTAATAGGTTAATAACAAGCCAATCAGTCCACTATCATATTAGTCATCAGCTGGAATACCGTAAACTTAAAAAAACAACAACAAAGAAAACACATATCTTGTCTGCTTTGTAGCTGGCATTCAGATTAAAAACCGCACAAGTTTCAAACGATACAAGCTTTGACTGAGTGTGATCATGCCGAGGCTGCATTGAACCATGAGCAGTTTGTTGGTTGGGCCCTCTGAGGGGAAACAGTAAGCTAAATAGGTCTGACAGACGCAGTACAGCCAGAAACCGTCCACGCTGTAGGTTTCTAGTTCGACCCGTGGCTTCGTTACTTTGCAGAGTGTACGTTAGTATGACGGCAGGATACAATATTTAGCTTTCTGTACTCTGATGTTAAACGCCCATGAGAGTTTGCCCTCCGAGAAAAAGAGATTCACATAAAACAAATGGCAAAAAAACAACATACAAACGACCAATAAATAAATATCAGTGAAAAAAATACACTGTTGAATCATTTTCGTGCTCTGTGTCACAGATCCATGATTGGTAAAATAACTGCTGTGACTTAAAGGAAATAAGGAAAACACCCGATATTCTCCTCGCTGCACAACAATCCCAAATCTGCAACACAAAACAAAACATAACAAAAACAAAATAAAACCCATCACAAGTGCAACATCAGTCACGACAGTTTCAGCATTAGGGGGGGAAAAAACTCTGGTATTTGACCAATTAGCTCATTACTACAGCATCAGACAAACCAGAAAGAATTAAAAAAAAGAATAAAAGAATACTCACAAAATAGAATAAAAAACAGAATTAAAAAAGCAGGGGGCGGGGACGAGGAGAAAAAACAAAATAAATAACAGCACACAATTCATGACCCAAACTGGGGTAACAAGAAATAAATTGATCATGATATCTGATCAAAGGAAAACAACATAATAAAAAAATACTATTAGACTTTCATTTCAGAGGTTATGTTTTTGTGGCGGTTTAAACGAGGCGGATGACACTGCAGCGTAACGGTGTCGAAAACGATCGCTCCACCTCGCCAGCTAAGAAACCTAAAAAAATCCTCAGAATAACGGACAGCAAGGTCCAGCTCTCAGCACTCGCTGGGATCACCCATTTATTTGTTCAATTTTGGTGTCATCTTTGCCCTGAATAATAATTATAACAAAAATAATAGTAAAACGGTAATCATGATGAAAAAAAAACAATGGCAAAAAAGAAAAGCTAATAATATAATAATAATAATCACCATCAATAGACTTTTGGTAGACTGATAAACACATCTCTCTCTCTCTCTCTCTCACACACACACACACACCTCTGACAAACACTGTCGGCTATTATTGACACAGCTCCTCCTCAACGACGAGTTATGGGTCAAAAGTGAAACAAATAGATATATATATTGCAAAGTTGACAGAAAAAAAAGTGTGTCTTTTCCCCAAGTACACAATAATTAAACATTTTCAAAACAAACAGACTATATGTGTAAAAATTATAAATAAGGGTAAAGTTTCGTGCATCCCCGTCCCAACCAACCGCTGTCTTCAAAACAACAAACAGAAAACAAAACAATGGCAGTTACAACGGTGACATATAACATGCAATGGATATACTTTACAGCATTGATCGGTATCTCCCCAAAAACTACAAATCCCACAACTAACCCACGAGCCCCCCCCCCTAACCCCAATACAATCTTTAAATATTTGTCAGCTCATTCAAACCACTTTTTTGGCTCCCCTTTTCTTTTTTAGCGGAGGGCGGTGAGTTTTATCACCACTGGGGGTGTTTGTGTTTTTTTGTTTGTGGGGGGGGGGGGGGGGGTTTCTTCCCCATCCAAGCAAGCGGACATGGTTTGAATGACTGCATAGTGAAAATGATATTTGGTTAACTTACAAATGGGATCACCACACACACACACACACAAGAACAGCGCTGCCCCCCCACTCCACACACACACGCCCCCTCCTCTCCCGCTTCCTATAGAAATATTTAATGTACATTGTAGCCGAGAGTAATCAATTATACGGTCAATAACAATATTCATAACAATAACAGCAACAGTGTTTAGTATTTTCTGTTGAGTTGCGGACACCTTTGGTGTTAACGGTCAAGGTCGTCCAGCTGGCAGACGGCCCGTGGACAGACGGGGGGGGGGGGGACAGAGGGACGTAAAGCACCTGGACAGACAGACCCATCAGCCGCATCGACACTGTACAGTTTAGTGTTACAAACCATCAACTCCTGCCTGCACACACACACACACACGAGGTGACCCGCCCCCTTCTAATCCATCCCTCACTTGCTTTTGCTCTCTTCACACCTGCTCTGTATTTGGTAACACATGTTGACTTTGCATTATTTCACTTATTTGGCTTTGATGTAAAAATGTAAATGTAAAATTAAAAAAATAAAATAAGAAGTATTTGTCCTTTGGGGAAAAGAAGTGACAGCAGCGTCTAAAACAATATAAAGTAGCAGCAGTAGCAAAGTAAATAAATATCATGGTTTAAACAGGAACAGTAAACTCCGCGCAGACTAAAATAATTGGTAGGTTGGTGAAACACCACAAAAGCTTTTCACGGCACCCGGCCGGCATCGCAGCTCCAGCTGCCTTCCCCGCGTTTCCTGTCTCCTTATTCACACACCTGCCTCCTCCCGCCACACCTCAATTTGTCTCAACTTCCGACCACCCCCCCCCCCCACCCTTCTCTACACTCCATGTCTTCCTTCCCGGCTGCCTCCGTCCTCTCCTCTCATTCCATTTCCACTCATCCTCTCGACCACCTTCCTGAGTCGCTCGCTCTCCCACACTTAACGGTTTGCTCTCTACGTCGTTGTCATTTCTCGGGTTCTGTGCGTCTGGCAGTGATTCGGTTCGGCCAGTGTTGCAGATTGCCAGTTCAGCTGCGCCTGGAGCTCCTTTGTCCTCACGGACGGAAGAGCAAACGGTCACTCGACTGCAATGGATCAGTCATCTAAATCGGTCTTAGGTCACGGAAGGTAAGTTATGATTTCATGATTAATTGGAACAAGTCACGATTTGTTTACATTTTTCTTCCAAGATTGTAGGAAAGAAATTGGAACTTGCAATATCGTATCGAAATTGGTACTTGCAGACTTGAAAAAATTAAGAAATAACTACTTTATAGTCCTAAAAGGATTTGAAAGTGATCAATTTGAACAAAATGATTTGAGAGGCAGACTTCAGAGTCAATACAAACATGTGTGAAGCCAGACGGGACCCTAAACCAGTAGTTTGAGACCCTAATAACACCACCACACGTGTCTGAAACGCAGCCTTTGGTACCGCCGCGGAGCACCACATCCCACTAACCCGCAGACAGACGAGTAAAGAAACGCTCCACATCGACTGACCAGATTAGCTCCCGTTCTCTTCCCCCTTGATGAAAAAACACTGCTTACCTCCAACGATAAACTCCCTCCTTCGACTACTTTCTCTGCTCTTCTTTCCCACACTTCTCTAACTCATCTTTTTCTCTTCCTAGTATACATCTCCATCTCATTTAGTACATCTACGTCCAAACCCACACAAATAAATCATAAACAACTTCTACAAAGCTAGAATGGAAAACATTTTTTTTTGTAAGTCTCTTTCATCCGTTTTCCCTCCAATTGTTACAGCTGCTAAAAACAATGATGGTATTCTAAACATATTTCATGTCAAAGTTAGTGAGAGTTTCTATCCTTGCGTGTTAAAAATGAAGCCATTGAGTTAATACATGATGGTGTGGTGTGTTTGTGTTACGGGTGTAGTGTGAAGGTCAATAAATGGCGAACAAACATAAACATGCTTATGGAAAACAGCCAGTGACTGTGTGTTGATATCCACACACACGCACGCACAGATTCAGCCTGAGAATGTGTGTCCGTAGGAGTACCTGAAGAAGCATAGATGCACCGGACATGGTTGTGTCCATCCTAAAGTTTGTGTACATGACAGATGTTTGCTAATGTAGCAGATGCTTTGTTCCAGTGTGTAGTGACTACTCTGTTAATTGTTCCAACGACTTGGATCAACGCTTGAGACAAACACGTGGGGGAAACACTAGTGACAGGTGGATAAAATGTAGAAACAACACACACACACACACACACACACAAACAGCTTGTGTGTTACGTAATGGGAAACATTGTGTATAGATGAACAAAGCTAACTACAGCGTGTGCGCCCTCTTCTCTCCCCTCCCTCCCGTGTCTGTCTGTCCAGATTCAACACACAGTCTAACAGCAATTTAGCGGTTTATTTTCAACAACCCGCTCCATCCAATCATCCATCAGTCCATGTCTCTGTCCATTGCCTCACCGAGTCTCCACCCACCCCTCTCTCTCTCCTCTTACCCCCCCCCCCTCCGTGGGCTCTTCAGGTTCTCCGGTGGACAGATGGACGGGTTGGGTGGAGGGGGTGGAGCCTAACACTAGGCCGCACTAGAGCAGACTGAGTCTGGCTAAGCTAACGGCAGGCTGGGCTCGGCTACCTACTGAAGAGCGAGTGGAGCTGGTGCTGGTGGGTGTAACACTGACTGCTGCGAGGCGACTCGGTGCGATCCATCACCGCCTGGAACCAACCGGCCACGTCCACGTCCAGCACCTCGTAACGGCGGATGAAATTATGCTCCTGAGTGACAGAGACAGACTGTTTAGTTACATCTCACCTTTGGGCAGTTCTGGCGTTTCTCATGGTGACTGGTTTCTTACCAGCAGCTGGAGGTATTTTGGCCTTTTTCTGTGATCCTTTGTGAGGCTGTGAATATTAAAATTATAAAGATGAAAGGTGAGTCAACTTTGTTTCTTTGCAGAGAAGGTCCATGCGATTTACATTAAAGTCACGATCCGATACTATACATAAATAGAGTAAACAAAAAGCAACTAATCATGAGGCCAAGAAAACGGAAACATGCTTGCTCTTGAATGTGACAGATCTCCGGTCGGGCATTTGGTTCCAGAGAAGAGGTCCAAAGTGGCTAAAAGCACCGCGGCCTTATGTACAGCCAGAAAAACTCCCTCCTCCACAAATTAATCTGTTTTAGAGTGACATTTGCACTGACCAGTCTTTGACGAAGGACTGGAAATCGAGGGAGAAGCCCATGCCGAGAGGCAGCAGAGGAGGATCCTCCTGCAGCACTTTGGTCAGGACCTCAAAGTCTGTCTTGCAGTTCTTGTAAGGAAACTGTCCAGTGGCCAGCTCCACCTATAGGACACAAGAAGCCATTAACATCTACTGTCAGACAATAAAGCAGCACCACCTCTTCCTGTATGCCTATAATGAACTATGCTTAAAGCCCATGGATTTATTTAATACCAAGCAAAAGTATGAATGGCATTTTTTCCTACGTGTTTGTGCATTTATGTTGAGTGAATCTGTTATTTTGGCTGTTGATCTCAGGCCTGCGGTGGTTCTGTCCTCAGGTAAGCACTCGCGTCTCTCAATAAGATACAAACACAGATTCAGATTTGGCAGAACATCCCTGTCCTCGAAGATGAAGCTTTATATAGCTGGTTTGAGGAAGTCTCGTCTTATGGAGCGAATATATCCACGTGAGATTGAAGGAAACGGAACCGTTCCCGAGATGACGTGGTGCCCACTTTCAGACCAGGTGCACTCCTTTTATGGTGATAAAACATTTTACCAGAGAGATGCCGAGGCTCCACACGTCTGCTCGGATGTCATAGTCAGGTTTGGTGGGATCTGGAGGGTCTATTCTCTCGGGCTGCAAGAACACAAGATGAGCAAACACTCTGTTTAGGGGATTGGCGTGCGCGTCATGTGTCTATTTGATCGTTTTCTGTTTGTGTAGTGGGTGGAGAGCTGTGGGTTTTCTCCACTCACCGCCATGTAGGCGGCGCAGCCGGCGCTGCGGGTCTTGGCCTTGGAGTCGACGAGGCGCCCGCTGATGCCGAAGTCGCAGAGCTTGATCTGACCTTTCGCGTCCAGGAGGATGTTTGAGGGTTTGACGTCCCGGTGGATGACGCCGTGCTTCTCCTTCAGGTACAGCAGCGCCTTCACTATCTGGAGCGGAAACAAACAAACACAAACACACACACCAGTTCAGAATCTAAGAACAAAGAGGGCAGCGACACGTGTTCCAATCTTTTTGCGCAACTTACGGCCACGGTCATCTTGCCAAGGATTCGCTCTGGGATGGGGCCCTGGATTCTCTTCTTCAGCTTCTCTGCACACGTTCCCATCAGCTCCATGGCGATGAATACATCCGTCTGCACAGGTAAGCAACACACATCCAGCTTTTAGCAGTTTATGTAAGAGATCTGTTTGAGGTGCCTGTGTTATATTATTTCGGGGACACCCACGCTGGTGACTATGGCGCCGTAGCACTGGATGATGTACGGGCAGTCATGACTCTTCAGCACCACATCCAGGTCCATCAGGATCCTCTTGTTCTCGTCCTTGTTTCCCGTGCGACGCATTTGCTGGTGACGCCCACAGAGAAACAAACCTTTAAAAAGAGTTCTTGAACAAAGACTTGATTGACGGCATGGTTGTTAAACAGCTCCAACGGCGTCAATTAAGTCATTTCTTTAATAGGAGGGTTGTTGCATGCAGGGTAATTACTGCCACTGTGTTGGTGAATTAGTCACAGTTAGAACACAACAGAGAATCAGAGCACTAAGCCGGGGTTAGCATCGCGCTCTCGGTCTATTTTGATTTGTCTGTTGAAAATAAGCCTCACGACAATAGAGCCCATATACTACTCAATTAAGGAAATATAGTATATATAAATAGTATAGTTTTTATTAGTATAGTATTACTTATTATTTGTTATAACCTGGTTCGGTCCTGTTTCTGTCCAATCAAAAATCTATTTTTTGTATGTATATCACATTCCTTATTCATTCCTGTCAATTTGTAGATTTCAAAACGTAGGACTTGGGTATCATCTGGTCCCATTGCAAACCTATTTCTCTCTTTGCCTCTTACCAACTTATCAACTTACTAGTAGGGCTTCATTTCGAGGCTGATAAGTATGTAGCGTGAACGGTTGGGTGCCTAATGTTCTTACTTTGACCGCAATGACATGGCCGGTCTTCTTGAATCGCACTTTGAAGACTTGTCCGCAGGTGCCGCTGCCGATCTCCCCCTCACTGATCAGGTCCGTCACCTCCGCTGGATACCGCTGTGTCAAACACAGACCAAACAAAACTTTTGGGTCATGCTCAAGACATTTTTTTTCTTGGTCAAAACATTCATGATGTTTTTTTCCACACTCCAGGCTAAAAATAGATGAGGTGTGTGGGAGGGCTGGTAACCCTCAGAATAACAGCACACGGTGGGGAGACGCTTCTTTTGAATTAAATCACTGTGCGACGGAGATGCGGAGAGCGCCGTCTCACGGAGTGTTTGATGTAGGAACCCCTCTTGGCGAGTGAGGAGAAAAACAACCAGCCAGCAGGAGTCATATCCTTTTCTCATGCATCTTCAAACACTGACTGGCCTCGACTGTGGTGCAACCTGAAGTCTGTAATAAACCTAAATGGTTCAACCCATAGTACATTACCGTTTCATCTTGGTAGAACACTTTAAGACTTTTATAATAGTCTTTCTATACCCCCCCCCCCCTAGTTTTTATGCACGTACATTTGTTGGGGACTACTTTAAGCTGTGGATTGGCACACACTTATTAACCCAAGTCATGATCTCTCATGTAATGCATCATGTCTCATCTCACCTGACCATCGATCTTTAGATAACCCGTCTGTTTCATGATCTCCTGGAGTTTCTGGTCAATCTCTGCACTGTGGAGACAAAACACACAGAAAAGTTCAATCAAGGAAATTTGTTTTTAATAATATACATTTTCCTCATCATCTGATTCATTTGATTCTTTGCAGTGGGCTTATTTTTAACAAAAAGAGGCGAGTTGTTTTCCCACTTAAACAAGAAGTGAGCATAAATACATTTCCTCAGTGGTTGCTGCTCAGATGAACTTCCGCTCGTGTCCACTTACTTCTCTAAGCTCTTCTGCAGGCCGTACGGAGGAGTGGGCAGGGTGAGCATGTGTCGCGGGCGGCTTGGGTAAGGGTGATGCTGAGGCGAGCTCTCTGTAGACGACGATCGGCTGCCCCCGTCGTTGGCCAGTGGCAGCTGGAGGGCTAGAGGAAGGGGTCGGAGGGGGGGGGGGACATGACACATTAGAAAACTGAGCGAACGGCACAGTACGTTTGTCGCCCGCGGCCAGCATGCCAGAGGAGGTAAGATTACTTATTCATGCACTCGCTGACGCCGCCCTCGTAGAGAAGCTGATGTGAACCGAAAGCTGATTGTGCGTAATAACTTGTGCTGTACTCTTTTTTTTTTAAACACATCTCAATGTGCTCTTTGGATCAGTGTCTGATGATGTATGAATGTGATGCACAATATCTGTCCGACTGCGATTTCCCACGAGACACCGAGAGAAATTGTCCTTGGTGACGTCGAGAGAGTCGTTTCAGCCCTGCTATCTAAAGAAAATAAACTCTGCATAAACAAGTGTTTTTGTTCTTCGCCGATGTCCCGACCGAACGTTAAAACAAGCAGGACGGTGATCTCAGTGCAGAAGCATCGCCATTCTCGGGCAGCGAGGGACGGCACAGCGTCGGCCTGCCGAGAGGACCAGTTTAGGGATTTGGACCTCAACAGATTATCTTTAAATGGAAAACTAAGGTTCATGAACACTTGGGTTGTCTTTCAGTGGCTGCAGAGATAGTTTCATTCTGCAATTCACTTTGTTATTTCTTTCCTTTAGCTTGTAATTTCTTTTAACCTCTATCATAATTTAACTTGTGTTGGTTGGCCCATTCGACGTCTTTGTTACCGTGTTCCCACATGTCAGAGATTTATTTTGGGGGATACAACGTCATCAGAACCGACAAACGAGGACCGCAAGAATGAAAATAAAAGTTCTAAAAGCCGTTTTGACATTGAAGCCAATATTATTCACACAAAACTGCTCCTCCTAGTTGATACACCAAGATGACTTAGAGGCCTCGGGCAACATTGGCAGTCGTAGGTCCTCAACCCATAACTCTAAAATCATGTATTTAAGGACATGTTGAAACTCAGTTGTCCTTGTAATATCAGATGTACGTGCAAGCAAGTGATCACTTATTTTCAAATGGTAAAAAGCGTTCTACTACTAGGACCGACCTGTCATGCAGCCAAAAAGCTCACACTACGCTTATGAACGCTAAGCGTGGGACGAGTTTAAATACCAACTTCACTCCAGAAAGCTTTTTTTCAGAACCAGTTTTCTAAACCGGGACATGCAGCCGCGATCAAGTTTATCATTAACAGTGTTGTAGTTTGTGTAGCACAAGGCTGGCAGCTCCTCAGTCACCTGTGGATGGATCAGCCTGCAAGAAGGAGAATCGGTTAGTGAAACGGGAGGACGGGTTAGTGTGGGGAGGAAGACGGATTCGGGCAGTCTTTGGCAAAGGACGTATCTCCTTAGTTCGGCTGGCTCCAGATGGACAGACGGGACATCAGACGCAGCGATGAGACAACACAAACACAGATTCTCGCAGGCACCGCCTCCAGCTCACATAGTGCTGCTGCAAAAGGAAGGAGCAGGAAACAAAGGGGAGGAGAGGGGGATGCCAGAGGATGAATAACAAGCAAACATCAGAGAGGGACGGAAAGGGAGGAGAAAGTCGGCCCAAAACTGCACGGCACAGACTAAGCTGAAGGTCAGACAGTCAGTCAGTCAGACCTTTTCTTCGGTCAAAGAAAACAGAGGGCGAAGGAGCAGCCGGAGAGTTCAAAGCACTCCTGCAGACGGACCGGTTGGGGATGCTGGATTAGAGACTGTGGCGGACGAAACAAAACCCCAAACATTGTGACGTGCAGAGAAAGCTGCATGCACCGCGTCTCTCCGCCTCCGGCAAAACAGAGTTTAATCATCACACTCACACACACACACACACACTGAACATCAACGCACACCAACACTGCCCTGCCACTGGCATAGACGCACGCTGACGAGAGAGAGGCGTCAGAATGGAAAGATGGAGAGAGGACGTGACTTGAGGGGGAGGTTCAACATATCTGGGGGGCCTAAATATGAGAACTGGGGAAGGACTGCATCCATAGACAAGGGTTTAACTGTCTAACCCCCGAGTGGAGTTTCTCCTTATCAGATAAGGTAAAGAGAATAAGACTTGCGTGTGTACTAGTGTTCCATGTTGTGGTTAATACACGTCTATGACAATAACAACCGCGCCTGCTGATGCCGACATAAATCATTCCTCAAATTTTATCTGGTTACTTAAGAGACCTTCGAGTTGATCAGGAGGAAAAACAGACATGATCTTTTATTTACTGGAAAGGGGGAGATGGAATTTTGCAGCCATTTGTTAAAGACTTAAGAAGACTTTCCCCCCCTGACTATTAATTACACGGGATGTAAGAAACACACATTATAGTGTTAAAAAGACATTCTGTGTTTACTTCTGATGGGATTCAAAAGATTAGCAACACATTGATAAGGGAGGTGGGTTTAGGAGGTGAAACGGGGGCGGGTGCTGCAAGGTGGGGGTTGGGTGAGGGAGAAAGAGGTGCAGTGGCAGAGAGAGCGATGGATTGAATGATACCTGCACGCTGGGAAGGGGCTGGAGCAGGACTGAGCTGGATCACGATGACTAGACGGAGGGGGGAAAAAATATACACACGCGCATATTACTGTACTGTTCTACTGAGACAACCACACAAACACACACACACTATCATATAACATATGGGGGGGAAAAACGGTTTCTTATTATAAGTCCCTTGTTTTCTTCACACAGAAATAAACTGAGAAATATGAGTGGTGTGTGTTAGAGGATCATCTGTCTCTATCCTATCTTTTTCATATTGTCAATAAATCCATTGAAAAGACCCCAAATCAACAAAACGCTGGTATGTCTTTCATTACTTTCTGACTTCCAAAACCACGTCTGAGGCATAAAGTCAGAAATCTTTAAAAAAAAGTCACCCTTAATTTAGCTCGGTCATTTCCTTTAACAGCGGGACACTGTAGTTTTTAGCAAATGTCGCTCAGACAGACTATTTTCTGTGGTTTTGTGGACCCACTTGGAGCTCTAATGACTATTTGTAGCCGCAGTATGAAGGACATCAGCTCAAAATGGACCATGCGTCCATGTCCACTCTAATGAAACTGCACCATTGCCGTCTGTTTAATAAAAATGTGCCCAGACTGAAAGGGTCTTCTGATACAGACTTATAACAGGGAACTCATCAGGGACACTTTAAGTGAGGTAGCGAGGAATTGCTGGCAAACACTATTTCAATGATGGAAAACAATTGATTTTTAAATTGATTTCTTTGGTCTATTCCATAGATTAGTAAACAATGAGGCTGGTGATATTCTGTAGGAAAATACAGAATAGCACCAGCCTTTTTTATTTTTTACCAGAAAAGGGAGAGAAACTGGATTGGGGTCGAAGTGATGATCAGCAGAGGTGAATTGGTGTTTTTCACGTCGTTGGAGAGATATTAAAGAGGCGTCTGTCTCAGGGTTCATTTCGGTGACACATGTCAGTCTCCTCCGGACGGCCCTCACTCCATAGTCCCTAAAAGAGACGCGACTACTCACGTCACGTGTAAAGCAGCACTTTATGGAGGAGATGAAGCGTTGGTACCGTGCGGGGAATGTTAGCTAGCCGTTGAGGCGGCACAGCGTCCCTTTTCTCGAGGGGTCAAAACTTGGAGGTGGAAAAGGGGGAAATGCCTTTGCCGCAGCAGTCACGAGCAAAACACGCAGCTCGACCGGCTACATGGCGCCGGCGGGACCGTTCACAAGCGGACCGAACACGACACCAAATGTTCGGAGGGACGCCGGGCCTGCCACCGACTCTCACTCGCACCGCCAGCTTGTTAGCCTACTTAGCTCGTTTGACAGGACACATACGGAGCGGGTTTCAATACGTGACTGCCAGCGAGACACCCCGTGACAGCGCTTCGCCGTGTTTTTTACGTTTAGCTTTGCTCACTCTCGATATTATGCCACTTGATAGGACCGCAGCTGACAGTGGAATAGACCGAGCGAGCCGCTTCGGCGTTTGTTTATGTAGCTAGCCTGTTAGCCTGTAGCAGCTAGGCGCAGCATAACACCTCCGCCTCTTCGGTCGTTCCCCCGGCTGTTCTGCCCGTTACCGACTCCCCGGTGGTCCCCGGACACTCACTCGGCCTCGGACGCGTCCGCTGCGGACTCATGTCGATGCTAAGGTCGATTCTCCGGCGAGCCTCTTCATTTTCCTGCTTTAGTTTCTCCTCGATTCGCGACAGCCTCTGTTCCAGCGACGACATCTTGAAAAATTGAGCACCATGTAACGTTGGTTCCCAGCAGAGCGCTCTGCTCCCCTCTCTGGCAGGATGGGCACACGCACGCACACACGGGACCGCGCACGCACACACACACAAAAATGAACAATTATCCCTTTGGTTCCGGCCTCTGAAAAGTGATCATTTTCTCATCTTTTGGCGGGTTTATATTAAAGGCCCTTGTGATGAAGTTTTGAAAAAGCAGAAATGTAAATATTCCAATAAAAGGCTGCACTTTGGCTTCTTTGGTTTTGTTGCCCTGGTATAATGCATGTGGGCTATACTTATATAGAATAGAAAACGTGCTATTGGGAACATGTAAATAAAATAATTTAATTATTTCAAGGTAAAGGGACATTTTTCTCTAAAAACAAAGCTTCTGGATGTTTTTGGGGACAATGTCTTCTTGATGGCACATTTACAGGTGATGCCCTTTCCCCAGTTATGGAGGACATAACCAGTGAAAGCCACCTGTAAACTATTGATAGCTAGCATTCCATATCCGTGTGCTAACACCAATGCTAGGTTAGCAAAGGCTCAACATCTTTTTGAGAAGGCTGTAATGGTAAAATATGTTATAACATTGTTTTGTGCTAAAGCCGTGTCTCAAGTGTCCTGTATTTGACCCTGATGTGCAAAGAGCAGCATGATACAAAATGTTAGTTTGCAGCTGTGCCCTGAGAAGGGAGGACGGTCGACTCGATCTCATAGAAGCTTCAAAACAAAGGACTTCTGTTCATGGCCTTGGTTCTCATATCTTATTCGGTACGAAAGTTCCGGATCCACGTTTTACTTTATGTCAATTAATTATGATTTGCACCGGCCACTGAGGAGGATCTTGTGTGTGTGTGTGTGCTACCCTCAGCTTCACCTGGGTTCTTATCTCAACCTGCTTTGCAGCTTCTCGTAACTGGTACGGAGAATGTCCTTCACATGTGTATAAAAACTCAGCCTTTTTACTGCTCGGAGACGCCATTTCCACAGAGCACCGTGATACGTGTATTTGACCTCCTGCTTGCAAGCAATAAATTGACTTTTTGCAACTTTGATCATTCATCAAGACTGTTTTATCAGACAAATCATTCTCTTCTACCGAGCTTTTATTGAAATATTCCATAACAAGGCCTCAACGTGTGTGTATGTAACTTGCACCTAATGTCGGTTATCAATTTCAGATCCTTCTGAAGATGCTCACGCTTTAGGTCATTATGTGGCATCATCCACGTCGATGATGTTCTTTTGATTACTGTGACTTCATTCAATTTAGTAAAAAGATGACACAATACGAACAAAATCCTCACCACAATTCCATTGAAATGTTGAATTACTGCCAACTTCTTTTTTTTGAATGAAGGCTCTCAGACAGAATATTCACACCAGATTTTCTTTATAAAATAAGTCTCATCCACGCACATGGTTTTGTGAAGTCATACACAGGATAAGTAGAATCCACGCACCATACATACATAGCTTCACAACAAACCTCAACAAAGATGGTAAAATGTTACAGAAGTTTATTACCACTGGCTCATATTTTCTCACATTAATTATCCCGTTTCAAATTCTATTGCCCATTTAGAAACGTATTGCCAGGAAAACTTGTTTTACTGGGATCTCGTAGCGGAGAGGAGTCCTTCAATCAGACGCTGAAAGAACTGTTCCAGCGCCGTTTGTCGAGTCTACAGTCAGATAAAAGTGTCTTGGAGGGAAATTACTTAATGTTCACAAAACTCTCAAAGCATGACGACGACAGCTGCGTCTCACCAGTGGACAGACATCCAAACGTTACTCGTACATCAAGTCTTAGTGTTGTTTTTTCTCTCTAAAAAAGATAAAAAGATACCATCACCTGGTTTCCATGTAGCTTTTACGCTGATCGTTGTGATTCTGTGTCTGTTACACCAGTTTTATATCAAACTACGTATAACGGGTTATCCGATTCAAAAGTCTGGTGGGTATCGAGTAAAGCACGGAGAAGGTGACCTTCATAAAACAAGACTTCTTTACAAATTGCTAATGTAATGTTTGTGGCATTTAAAAAGGCAATTCAAATCAGATCAGCACACACATTTAACAAGTAGTTCTAAAGAAAAGTTGGTTTCTTTGTACCTCACAAGGTAACACAATCTGCCAAGCGACGGTGAGCCTGACTGCCGGTCGTCATAATCGTGATCTGCTGAGTGAAAATCCACTCTGAATGTGACGTTTCTGTTTCCACTCTTCTCGGGTTCAGCGCTCCTGCTGCTCTGTACAAAAGGGCAGTGAAGCAAAAACAAAATGCTTTTCTGTGGATCAAATACAAATGTAAGGCATTGGTATGAGTGGACTTGAACCCCGCCGCCTCCCCAACAGTCCTCTCACAGCTGCTCATGAAGACAAAGGGGAGGCGGCATTTTAAAAGGCTACACGAGTCCGTGGTGTGTTGTAACAATGGTTTGAGGGGGGGGACTTTGTTTAGTTTCTCCCACATTTCACCTTGTCGTGAAATGTCACCATCTTCTCTGTCCGTGCTTTTATTTTCTCAGTCCTCCATCTTTAAAAACCCCTGCAGTCTCACACACACACACACACACACACACACACACACACACACACACACACACACACACTCCCCCCCCCGGCTTCTCCGCATTCATTCTCAGTGTAAAATGGGGGCTGCCGCGCGGTCAGTAAAGGCCGTCGGTCCGCTCAGACCGCCGTGAAGGCTTCCCAAGCGGAACATTCCTCTTGAGGTCTGTGAGCCCACTAGCAGAGGTCAGAGACGTAGTCAAAGTCACAGAAGCTCTCCTGGTCTTTGCGGGAGAGCACGCGAGGCTCACGCGGCGGCGTCAGCGCCGGGGCTTCGGCGGTGAACTCCTCGTCAAAGTTGCTGACGTCTTCCTTGCCGACAATGGAGGGGATGAAGGGAGGGGGCACCTTCTTCTGAAGCAGCGCCTCCCAGTCCACGTGCTGGAGATAAAGAGCCGGAGGGATAATTACAATCGGCACGTCTGTTTTAGTTTTGCATTTACAGTTTCAAGAAGGAAAAGTAACGGCATGTGAACACCGTCGTCCACCTCAACCACACACTGTTTTTTGTGTCTGGGTGTGTGAGTATGCATATGTATATAAAACCTGTGTACTTACTCTGAAAAACGGCTGCTTTTTCACTTCTTCTGCATCTTTTTCACCAGATCCAAGTCGTCTCTCTGGGTTCCTTCTTAACAGCTGCTCACAAACACAGACGCACACAAATGTTAGTAAATAACAATTGTTTCTTGTGCAAGTTGTGTTCATGGGGTGTGAAGTCAGCAAGAGAACGAGACATTGTGTCTTTGTGCGCGTGTGTGCTCACCCTCCTCATGATGCCGATAGCCTCAGTAGACAGGAAGCGTGGATAGCGGACTTCATCATTTACAATACTGTCAAACACCTCCTCTTCGTCATCGCCCGGGAATGGAGACTACCAACACACCAGCCAGCGTGTTATTAACGATGGTAAACACAGCACTTAGATTATTAATTATATGAATGGATAATATTCCATCTATATTTTTCTCTCATGGGGAATTAGAAAATGCTTGGCTCGGCACCCTCTCGTGGGAGCATTGCTAAGTTACAGTAACAGGAAGCATTTGGAGACAGTGGTATGACGACAACTAAAGTTTCAGATCCGAGGTGCACTTGGTGCACTTTCTGAATCCAAACCCTGTAAACTAACCAGTTGGGGATGTGTGCTCCAACAAAGCTTCCTCCAGCGGTCAGCCCTTAGTCACTAAGAGCTGTGCATGAGACTGTGTACCAATTCTCACCTCTCCCACCAACATTTCATAGATGAGGACACCCAGCCCCCACCAGTCTACTGCCCTGGTGTAGGACGTGTCCGTTAGGACCTCCGGGGCTAAGAACTCTGGAGTCCCACAGAAGGTACTGGTCCGGTCCCCGAAGCCCATTCCTTACAGACAGGAGGCAGAAACATGACATATTGAGGCCAAAGACATTTAGAGAAACAAAATTAAAAAGCCGCCACTCAGTAACATTGATCTCCACCTTCTTTACACAGTCCAAAGTCAGCGATCTTCACATAACCATCGGTGTCTAGCAGCAGGTTGTCGAGCTTGAGGTCTCTGGAAGAGGAAGAACATAAAAGATGTAGCCGAGCATTAGTGAGTCTTTGCAGCATTTCAACGACAGCAGTTCTAAAGAGTTTGGTGAAGTCATGCCTGCTCCTCAGTGAGACTGAGACACAGCGGCGCTTTGAGCTAAACGCTACCATCAGCATGCTCATGTTACTCCTCTGGGCTCGACAGATTTAAATGGCAGGGTGTTTTTTTGTTTGTTCCTTGTAGTTGTGTTTTACACTCACCTGTACACAATCTTATGGTCATGGAGAAACTGAAGTCCAAGAACTACGCAGGCTGCGTAAAACCTGGAGTCAAACCAAAGAAACATTATTATTAACCTGCAATAAAAGGCAAGAAAATGTTTCCGCCGTAATGAGACACTCTACCACTTCCACCGTGTGTCTACAGTCTTTAATCCGATTAAAATGACCTTTTCATTATATACTGGGAATCAAGGAAATATTAGTAACCCCTTTAGTATGATGCAGTTCATACGTCTTATAAGACACACAAGTAAAAAGAAGTGGGACAAACCGTCCAATGATCGTTTTATTATCAAGTGGACATTTCACTTTCCCTGGACTGTGTTCCTCGCTCAAAACACTTTGACAGTTAATTCACAAACTTGAAAAGCCCTGAAAATGCATTTCATTTGCATCATTTTCTCTTTCTCAAATGCAGGCACACATGCAGTCGTCACGTACACGGCTCGCGGCTCGGTGAAGACGTCTGTGTGGATGTGCATCATCAGGTCGCCTCCTGCCGTGTACTCCATGACAAAACACACATGCTGTGGAGTCTGGAAGCACGCAAACAGGTTGACCAGGAAGGGGTGGTGCGACATGTTCACGACCTCAAAGATGCGCTTCTCGCACATCAGACTGCAGGAGGAGGAGAATGCAGAGGCAAAATAAAGTGAACAAGACAGGAAAGAGAGACAGACAGGAAGTGTGGGGATGAAGAGACGTGGAGGCAAATGGCGAAAAGAAATACAGCAAAATACACACAAACGCACCTTTCCACCTCATCCCGAGCAACAATATCGCCTTTCTTCAGGGCTTTGATGGCGTACATCGTGCCCGTCTTCTTGTATTCTGATAACAACACCTGGAGACAAACACATGCAGCAACAGCTCAAGTATTTCTTTAAATGTACACAACCTGTACAAGGTGAACTACGGGCTTCTAGATGCATTTTTTCTGATTTAATGAGAAAGTATTATTGAACTCAATAGGGTTGTACAAAACTGTCTGGCCCTTTAAGGCAAGTGTTTTATTTAGAATAAACATAATCAACATGTATGTTGAAGGTCGTTGAGGGTCAAAGATTAAAAATCTTCAGAGAAAAAAAAAGGCTTTTGCAAATTATTCTGACTATTCCAGTTGCCAAACATGCACTCAGCTCTTCAATTTGTGCACATATTAAGCTAAAAAAGTTAAAAGAACTCCCTTTTTTCTTCTGTGTGTTGTTACAGATCTGAGTGTTAAACCTTTTCTCATGTTTGTTATGCATTCAAAGTTAAAGAAATAATAAGCAGCCGTTTATCAAACTGTACCTTCCCAAAGTGTCCCCTGCCCAGCACAGCAATCAGCCGGAAGTCCTGGAGGGACAGAGGACCTTTCCTCTGCTTACTGGAGAGACGGACACGCAGTCAGCAGGAACATTTAGAGTAAGCAACAAGTTAAAAACCATCTCAACTGAGGACCCGCCAGCATCAACAGTCATGGCAGACATCAGCTATATTTATTATTTACTTTTGGGCTTTTAGGTCAAAATATCTAGAGATAGATATCAAGAATATATAAGAATAATACAAACACAATATGTGAATATAATTGGGAAAAAATAGGCTGTAGATAAGATAAAACAATAAACACAGTTTATTGCTTATGCGCATTTGTGTACCTGCCAATGGACTGGGTTCGCACAGGGCACTCGGGGGTGAGGTCTGGGGGGGAGAAGGGCTCGATGACGGTCAGTCGGTCCTGAGGAGGGACACGCGAGGAAAGGAATACGAAGGGAAAAGACAGAGACAGCGAGATAATAAGGGTCAAGCGACACAATGGTGATTTCACGATAGAAGAGACACACGAGCAGCCTTCCAGGGCGCCGGTCACTTTGGGTCCGCATCACGTGCTGGACGATCCGCATGGGGCGACCCGGCGTTACTGTGAACGCAGCATTATGCTGACTGATGTGTTGGAGCTCGTTGAATGATTTCCTTCAAAAGGTTTGGCCAGTTTAAAATAGTTTTTATGCATCATTACATTATTTAAAGATGAAAGTGACTGATGAGCTTTGGTTCATCTCATAGCTTAGTGTCTAATGCAGAACTGTTTTTGTAGATCGCAACTTGGGGCTCCATGTTAAATAACCAAATCCCCTTTCATCCCACGGCCACCAGAATGGATTTACTACAATGCCCCCCAAACATACACACACACACACACACACACACACACACAAATTGCCGGGGTCCCTCTCCCGTCCATCTCACCGGGGTCTGTGCGTCCACGTCTCTCTTGAAATCGCCTCTCATCGGAGAGTCGCTGTCCAAATTCAACTTCTCCACCGAGACCTCCCTGGAAAAAAAGCCACATTCGCACGGACAAGCAGACCAACACGGAGACGCACACAGACCGATGGACAGGGGACAAGCACAAGAGGGGAGTTAGACAAGCGGGGAGAATATTTATACACTGCCAGGAAACAAAGAGGGGGAAACAGGCTGGAGGAATGCTGCTGCGCATGATGGTGGAGTCTGACTGACGGCTATCCAACGCAAACGAGGAGCGTCTCTCTCCGGGGCAGTTAGGTGGAGCGCGCGTGCGCCCCGTGCGTTTTGTGCGCTTTGTGTGCGTCTCACCCGGCGCTGAGCATCAGGCCCTGTGTGTTGGGACTGTAGGTTCCCGAGTTGTTGGCGGTGGGAATGGCGTTTCGAAGCAGCCTCACCCACGTCCCGATGTCGACATTCATCTGGCGTGCACGAAGGAAGGCCTTGCCTGCAGACACACGGACAAACACACCGGAGTCAGCGGCGTGCGCCTGGGGAGGATGTCTGAACGTGGCTCGGATTACAATCTGCGATTTTTAAAACCGTTCCGTGAGTTGAAGCAGACTTTTTGCTTAAGCTACAACTTGAACATCCGTCTCGGTTACTTTTTGGCATATTATCCACACCCTGTGTCCTGTACAAAACGTATTGTAGATTTTTTCAATTATTTGCCGTTGGCCCCTTTGTAGTCCATTTTCTCTCAATAGGTTTTAATTCATTGGATGTTATTAAAATCTAAGCAATACGATTCAATCAGACTGATATTTCCTCCTTCATTGAGTCTTCATTGTTTCACCAAAAAATACAAATCTTAAAAAGGGTTGTAAAATTTCCAGGATTATTCATCATAGGAATAACGAGGGATTGTTTCTTACAGTAATTTCTCCTTCATGTTGTTAGAAATATCTCTGCTCTACATCTCGTTTAAACGAAGGACTTCCTATCTTTGTTTCTCTCGTTGGTAAATAAAGTTGTCATCATGATGAAGGGACAAGAGCTTTCAGTCGCCACCAGATGGTGCTGTGCTCCAAAAGAAGATTCAGCGCTTCTCTTGCTTTCTCATTAAGTTACAGCAAAACTGCTCTTTGTTCATTTGAAAAGGTCCTCTTTGTAAACTGTAAAAAGACTGCAGTGTAGAAAAACATTTTTATTCCAAAAAACAACATGTTCTGTGTTACCGCACCTTGTTGTTTAGAAAAGACTTTCTTCTGCCTCTGGAGACGAGGAACTCTCTCAATGACAGGGTTGAAAAATATTACCTGTACAGCGCGCACACACACACACGCACACACATACACACACACACACAAACACACACACAAAACATGTAAATTGCACATCCACATTTCATTTTCAGACATCACACTCCAAAATTTGAACCTTTCAAGTACATCAATGCAGCATGTGCATGTGACAGCTGTGTGCGCAAGCATGTGTAGATGGGCATATTTGAATATCTTTTTGTCTCTTCATAGCAGCTGTATAGGCTGTTCCCATTTCTCTGTAAAAGGTTTTTTCAAGGTGTGTGTGTGTGTGTGTGTGTGTGTGTGTGTGTGTGTGTGTGTGTGTGTGTGTGTACCTCGGCCATCAGCAGCCCTTGAGGTTCCAGCTCCAGCTGAACTCTGTGTTTCTGGTTGTCCAGGAACTCCTCCAGCTTCAGGTACTTCAGAGCACACAACGAGCGGTAGTCCTTCCAGTAGACTGCAATCTCCATCTCCCTCGACTGAAAAAACACACAACAGCTGGACGTTTTACCAAATGGATGTTCAAATGCACTCCATGCTTTTGTGTGCGCATCTGCGTGTGTGTTTACTGACCCTTTCCAGCTCCACAGTGAAGGTCTGGTCCCAGGCCTGCTCTCCTACAGTCTTCCAGGCTGTCTGTCCCACAACGCCGTTATCCAGCTTTAGCACAGCACTCACCTCAGCTACACACACACACACACACACACACACACACACACACACACACACACACACACACACACACAGTTACATTCCTATTCAGAACCTGACCATTTAGCACTGACTACTAACAACACACACGTGAAAGCTACCGTATGCTCACTCTGCCATAATAGAATTTATGTATTAAATTCCTTGGGGAAAGAGCACAACCTTAATATCTGTGAATGGTCTGCAGTACTGAACCAATTCAGCTAAATTTGCTGAAGTTGCACTAGCTGTGCAGCTGTGTGAGCACTGACCCATAGTACCTACCCCCCCCAGTAATTTAATGTACTGAATATAGATTTGCACACAATGTGCTGACAAGGACCCTCACATGAGAGCTCTTCTGCCTTGCTGGGGGTCTTCCCGCTGACCGAGCCGCTCCGGCCGTAGAGCCCCTTGCTGCCCCTCATGAAGGAGCGAGTGTCTCCGGGGCTGTAGCAGGGCAGCATGACAGCGACCCCTTTAGTGCGACCGGGGACCACCTCCAACAACCCCACGCATCCCAGCACCTGCACCTGTAGCGTACCTGGAGACACAGGGGGGACCGTTTAGGGACAACCAACAACGTGGGGCCAAAAACAACAACAAGAGAGGCCACATGAACACATTAGTTAGATGAATAAAACCAGAGGTAAATGTGAGGTTTTTATGGTTCAACACAGGATAACCATAAAAAAGTGCCAAAATGTCAAATGTTGCACTGTGTTGATTGTGTACTAGTGCAGCGTTTCATCATTGTGTAGTTAATACCAAATACATGCGAACTCAAAGTAATAAACTAGTACCACGGTCTAGTATTACCCATATCGGATCATAACAAGAATATTTACACAGCAGGAAAACAAGTCAAAGTCTTTTGCTGTTGTTGCATTCTCTTCAATTCAGAGAGAGAAAGACCAGATTGAGTAAGACGTCTTTACCCTCAGCATTGCCTGGTGTGGTATTGCGTCATTGTTAATTACCAGTGAGAGGGGAGGGCTTGTTGAGCGTGTTGTACTGGTTGTGGAGGTATGGGGCGCCATGGCGAGAGCTGAAGGCTGGGGAGGAAGCCAGGACCAGCTCCTCCTTGATGACCGTGGCCTTGGGATGGTCCTCAGGCAGCTCTGCTAGACGCTGGTCCAGAGAGTCCCTCAGCAGGTCCAGGCGCTGGGACGCCTCGCTCAGACGAGACTGCGCCTACGGAGCAACGACACGGAGCGGCAGTGAACAGGCTGGCTGACGTCGTTATAAACAAAGGGGTGCAGTTTTTAGAGAGAACCAGGCTGGACAATGAAAGGGTTTGCAGGGTGTGTGTGTGTGTGTCACATGTGTGTCCAGTCTGACCTCAGACAGGGCTTTCTTGTCCTGGACCTTGCCGGCCCCCAGGAGTCTCAGCACATTTTTGGCCCCCTCAGCAACAGCATGCTCCACTCTGTAGTGATGCCTCAGCTCTTCAATGCGCAGCTCCATCCCACAGAGGTCCTGGTTACCTGCCGTGTTTGGGGCGGACAAATTGCAATAGTGAGTAGAGGATCGTAGAGCGCGGACGAGGCTGTAATGCCGCGAAACGCCGCATTCATCCCGCCTGAAACGTTTATTCTATAGATCGAGTTCAGCAGGTGCATGCAGAGACACCAGCGTTTTGCTTTGGATGCGGTGTGTTACGGAGAACTCCCCTGGGCGTTCCAGGTTAGGTTGATGCCCTTATGCATTACACAAGAGGCCGACAAAGGAAACATCAGCAGCGCCCGAGGGAGGTGAGCCGCCTCGGAGTGTTCCTCAGTAAACAACATTTACTTTGGTTTTAGCCTCACGCTCCAAATGGCTTTTTCATTCCCATCTCTGAAAGCAAACGGAGCGATGATACATTTTGGATCTTTGCTGATTTTATTCCTAACATTTTCTTTTGTCGGAGAATGGAGATTTGAAATAAATCCCATTTTCTTACGGTTAGTCGAGAGAAAGAAAAATTAAAAATTTGTGAGCTTAAATACTGCATTTTACAGCAATATGAAATATTAAAGACATTTCATACAGACAACAAACAGTTGTTATACCAGTATGAAATATCTTTAATATTTCATGTTAATTATGGCTTTTGATTTGATCAATTTAAAAAAAGAAGTATGATTCAATGATCATAACACTTCTTTTTATTATGACATGAATCATTCTGTAAAGGACAGATAAAACAAAACAAAGAAAATACCAATTGGCTAAAAGGAAAGCCACAAGAACAGCAGCAAGGAAAAAGAAAAAACACTCAAGCTCTCTCTCTTGGAAAAACAGACCTGGGGTCAGCATCGGAGTTCCACCCGTGAACCCAAATTACAGCTATGTGGTCAGCTGAATGGCAGAGCAGCCACACACAATGAGGAGAGATAAAGGACAATGGGACGGATAGCATTCACCAGTATGTGCGTTTGACTTTTTAACGTCGGGTTAGTGAAGATTTAGGACGAAAGGGAAAGTGATTTTAAAAGATCTTCTTGGTGACTTATGGTGAACTTATGGGCTCAACGCGCTGCTTGAGAAACAGAGGGTAAAAAGGGGGAGGCAGAGGTGGACTCTTTTATCTCCTAATAAGGTGTTCTGCCTGGAGCCCGGACCCTGCTAGATGACCCCTCCACCGGGTGTGGTGCCTGGAGACTGTCTGTGTACACACACACACACACACACACACGCACGCACGCACGCACACACACACCCTGTGCGAGTGTGTATGACTTAAAGGAGAAAGAGAGAGAAGGATCCAGGCGTGATGCGCCCCATCGACACAGGAATTCTAACGTGGAAGTCTTAAGACACACATACTCAACAGTAAATGTATTTGTGGGTCATAGAGGTTACGGTTTGGAAAAGCAGACTTAGTTAATAGTAGTGCTCCACTGTCGGATTCTCGATGGACGGCGCGAACAAAAAGGAATCACATCAATGGAGCAGAACCAGTCGCTCCATCTTTGGCAAAACCGGGCGCCTACATCTCCCACAATGCACCCCAACCACGGGGGGGGGGCGGGGTCTTCGGTGTGCGATTCAGCAGTGTTACTCACGAGGAGGCTAACGACTCAGACTTAAGTGACGTCACTCAAAGTAATTTCAAACTTCACCGATGGATCCATCTGGAGGCTCTGCAAGCGTTATATCCCTCTGCACTACTTCTAAAATGACTCTGTGGAGATCAAACCATATTTATTGTGTTACAGCGGTGGAAGGAACTTTAAATCAAGAAATAGGTTTTTCCTCTTGGAAGACCCCCGGGGAAAAAGCACAGCCCGTCAGAGCAACCATCCTTCCAAATGGCCACTATCTTCTTTCCTTAAAAGCCCATTTTGTTATTCACCATCGGCTGCCTCAAGAAACAAATATATGCTCCCCAAAGGGAATACACATTCCTTAAAATCTCTATTTTGTGTCTGTTCCGTCCTACAGCTCCAAACCCTCAGCCTGTGGTGACGCCAATCAATCGGCCCCTTCTTCCCCCAGCAAAGGAGCCGTTATGGCCCAAAGCTCAGAAACCCATCAACCTGCCCAGAAAGGGGCATCCATCCCTCTGCCCCGGCACACAATGAGAGTGTGCGTCAGACAGGAGAGACCTCGCATCGGTTTGTTTGATCGCACAACCACGTCTCCCCCAACGCGCGCGTCCACCTGGCCGGATGCGGTCCGACCTCACAATGACTCACCATACGGAGAGTGTGGGGAAGAGACTTTTCATCCGCCAGCTCCTTTTGTTGGAAGATAGGATTTTTTTATTTTATTCGAGTCGATTGTGGTTATGGTCCAGGTGGGCCATTTCACATGCTTTGTAGAACTCACTCAAATATTTGTGTACACAGACACGGCTCTGTTCATCGGTCCTAATTGTCTGGGAGTAAATAATAAGCCGGATCTTTCATTGATCTGTTTTTACGCCTCTGTGCGTCGGCTGTCTGGAGCTGCTGCTCACACCCGACTGAGAGACACGCACAAGGCCGAGGCATGAAAAGCATCCGTCAGAGCCGGCTGACCACCGTGACCCCACACGGCGTCAGTTCAGATCACTTTCCCCTGACGGGAAATTAAAATGTGCGGTTAGGGTGTTTTTTTTGTTGCTCCGTGGATTGGTGCATATTGTGAAAGGATTTTGACAGGTTTACCGCTGCTAGAAATCCGATACTACTTTGATAAAGAGCTACAACAGCAAGAACCTTTCACTGTGCAACCAAATATTACAAAATATTATGAACAATGTAAATGCTGCAATGTACTCTACTTGTAATGCGCTTTTCTAGTCTTGCGACAAGTCAAAGCATCTTAAAACCCGTGGCATCATTCACACCTGATGACAGGAGTCAACACCACCAGCCGATCAGTAGCTAGCGTTCACACACAGTAGCTACGGCTCCGGGAGACATTTTGGCGTGAAGGGTCTTTCCCAAGGACATTACAGAGCCGGGGATCGAACCCTCCGCTTGCAGGACGACCCTGTTCTCCAATCAGCCATATTCACCAATGTCATCACATCCAAAAAAGGTAGCAGCAGCCAAAGTGTACATTGATTTATAGGAAATGGGGCAGAAGTGTGTTTTGCATACTACTCATTTTACCGGCCGGTCAGACTCACCCTGGGTGTCCTCGTTGTGCTCTGTGGCCTGCACAGCCTTGCGGATCTGCATGCGGATGATGTCAATCTTGGTCTTGCTGTCCTGCTGCATCTGCTGGGCTGTCTGCAGCATCTTCTTATCCTGATTGAAAGGAGATTGGAGACCGGCAGCAAAAGTCACGCAACGGCAAGCAAATATCCAATATAACTAATATAGAAAACGTAACAGAAACGATTCACTAACCGACTGTTACTTTATATCTATTGATTTGTGTGTGTTAAATTCAGGCTTAACGGTATGAGAGCAAGGTCGAACCGCAAGGTGAAAACGCTTGTGGAGATGCACACAGACAGCTATCAGCCAGTTCTGCGTTCTCCACTAAATACCTGGAGTGTGCAGATTGTTATGTGGAGCTGTGTTCAGGCGTGTGTGTGTGTGTGTGTGTGTGTGTGTGTGTATTTAAGCATGGTCCTGTACCTTGGTGGACCCGTTGGCGTAGATGGGGATCATGTTTTCGACCCCCTGCTTGACTTTGAGCTCGATGTTGAGCTGTCTCTCCAGGGCAGCGATGCGTTCCTTGTGGGCTGACGTACGGCTCTCCGCCCCAGGAGACTGGGGACACTCATCTGTGCCAATGGAAGGAACAAGATGATGTAGGAAAACAACAAAATGAGGGTTCACACGGTGCGTCAAAGTTATGGGTTCATCTAATGTCAAGCCATGTGCTGCTCACTAATCTGGAAGTTTCTTGGTGACATGGTGTTTTTCCACACGCGTACCTCTGTTCTCTTCTCCCCCTTTCACCACAATGTGAGCGTCCAGTTCTTGCAGCTGAGCATGAAGGTCGTCCAGTTTGCGATTTGAAGATCGCAACTGGCTCTCCACCTGCAGGAAAGAACCAATAAAAAAAAGCATAAATACACGCAAGAACGTCCCAAGAGGCCAGACAGTAAACTCTGGACTTTGAACCAGTTCGACGGGATGATTGACCATCAGTATTTGTACTCCGATCATTATGGCGTTGTAGTATTTTCTATTTCGAGTTTGACATGTGTATTTCCTGTTAACCACCTGCGTCCTGATCCGATCACAAGAACAGAACGCACTCCTTACATCAATTCACACCCCATCGACGAGTCTTCGGTGATTCTTGTGATCCGATCTCACGTCCCCACGTACATCACATACGCACGACAAAGCTTTCCGACAGGAATGCCCTTCTTGTGTCCGCCAGAAATCAAAACAACAATACAGGCCTCTTCCTCTGGCGTGTTCCAGGAAAACCAAATCACCTGATGGGATCAAGTTTGACTCACTCGATAAAGCCAGCTGATGTGATTTGGGACCTAACTGGAGATGAATGAGGGACAGGATACCTGTGGCTTCGAACGCTTATTGCTTTAAAGAATCATTCACCTTTTAAATACCCACTACCGCAGCTGAGCAACGCATCAAACTCACTTCTAGCGACAGGCGGAGCTGGTGCAGCTGTACTGGGAACTGGTCTGTGACCAACTCCCCGGCCACTGTTCGTCATTCCTGCAGTCGCACTATGTGAAACCCGGTGACCCTTCTATCCCTGCCTTCTTACTGCCCTTTGTCAGTGGAAGATATATTCTCATATTAAGTATCTGTTGGCCAAATCATCGTCTTTGGGAGGATGGGAGAGTGGGCGCGTCTGACCTGCTGCGCGTTCCTCTTGTCGGTCGTCGCCCTCCGTAGGTTCTCAGCTCCCTCCTTGATTTTCAGCTCTCTGCGGATCTCTCTGCGGATCCTTTCGCGATGCTCGTCCAAAAGCTGCTGCACGCCGGTATCGGAGAAATCTGAGTTCTGGTCCAGGCCGAGCTGCTCCAGAACCGACAGCCCACCAGGGTCGCTCTGCACGACAAGGAACAGGAAGCATAAATAACTAAGGCGATGTGGTTACAAAACTAAATTTAAAAAAATGGACAATACAGTCGGGCTGTGAGAGGGACATGGACAGACGAGGAAGAGATGGTGAGCAGGATAAGGCAGTAATGGGAGGAAGGAGGGGGGTGGGGGCTACTGATGGGGTGGGAAGGGAAAAGGGAAAAAATGTGTAGAAATAAAAATGTTTGAAAAGGAAGCAGGAGGCGCAGAGAGTAATAACAGAAGTCTGCTTCAGCAAGTGTTTATAATAATTCAAAACAAATCACCATACTGCTTAAAAGTAGAGCTTCACAGTTCAGAGGAACCATTAGGAATGTCATTTTTAATACAGGCTGCCTGACAAACAGCTACACACACAGCAAAGTGCACTATCCGTTGTTTTTTTAAAACACACACACACACACACTTAAATAACTCTGCTCCATAAAGTTCCTACTTGCGTCCTGTGTCTTTTAAAATAAAATTCCCACTCAATAAGCCAGAGACACGGGGGACAACGCAAGTAGAGACAGCGTAAATGACACGGCCCGCTAATACAGGAACACACAAATCAAACAAACAAGCCAACTGCACTTCACCTCCGAGCTGTCCTCATCCTCCTCGTCGCCATGCCAACACATTTACTAGTTACCCAGGTACTAGGACAGAAATCTCTGGTGCGCTCCTGAGCTGCCAGCTACCGCCACGCTGAGAGCAAGATGGGTTTGGGAGCGAGGGCGTTGGGGGAACCCGGTAAAAAGAGATAAAGAGAGGGAGGAGGGGGAACGCCTCCGAAAGAGGATATCCGTCCCGACACCAAGCTGCTCAGGCCTTTCCTGTTTCCTCTGCAAATTCTGTTGCAGTCAGTGGTAAGCGAGACACGGAGAGAGCGGGGGGGACATAAACGCTCCCCCGTCAAGGACACATCCTTCCTGGGTCTGCGGCAGTAAGCTTGTCCCGTGTAAAGTCTGTGAGCGCCGATTTATCAGACGTGGCAGATGAAGTGACTTTGTGACGGCTTATTATTTGGTCTCACTTGGCTCACAGGATCTGGAGGGCGGAAACAAGGGAAGGATGCGTCTTCCAAGTATTGGACCGCAGCCAGAGAGTAAGATCGGCTGCTTGACGTCCACATCTGCAAGCCACAGAGGGGGTTCCCCTTCCCCTGGGGGACGGGACAGTCACGGCCTGCTTTTGAAGACAGCGGTGGCCTGAAAGCGAACCTCCAACGTCAGTCTTATTTCCCCATTTCTTTTTTTTTTAGCCTAAATCAAAAAACCTACAAAAAAGGAGCTAAATGTTTGAGCCTCTCCTATACACTCAGACACAGCTGTTAGCATTAGCTTAGTTGTGTTACACCCTTGAGCTTGTCAGGTCTGTGACTGACAGAGTTTTCAAACCCCATCAGGATCATTTGAATTCTCAAATCCAGCTAAAAGCCAGAGGAGTAAAGTGCACCGTTTTTTCTCTGGAGGAAGCGACTGGGAGTGTGAAGTCAGCCTGGCGAGACGGACTCAATCAATCATCTTTGGGCAGACAGTCATGACCTAATTAATGTCCTTACTCAGCAACCATTACCCGGGAAGGGAGAGCATTTCATTAATTGTTACAAGTTACATGACGAAGGCTTTGTTCTCTTCCTCTATATGAACATTAGATCATAATTGTTAACCAATCACAGATTTGTCCAGAAATGCCCCCATTTAATCCCTTTGTTGTCTCCACATTGTACAAACTGATCGATGACATCATGAACCATAAAACAATTTTCCTCTAGAGAAATAATAAACCCAAGTACAGACTATATTGACCTTAATGTCCCGTTCAGTGTCCCTCGTTTAACTGTTCAGGGAAATAGCTTTTCTTTTTTTGTGTCTGTCACCGTAAGGAGAGTAGCCAGAAGATGAAGGAATGGCCCAAAGTTAACCAAAGAGAGACATCTATCCATAATAGGCCATTCCCGACAAACCCTTAATCATTTCCTCACTAGGGGAGGGTTCTCTTTGGAATGGTGGCTTTACAGTACACACTGGGAATGACGACTGCGTCTTCTTATCACGGGGGGGGTTTGAGTGAACCAAAAGAGTGGGCCAATTAGGTCCGTAATTAAGTAGGTTATTATGTTGTCTTTCCACATGAAACTGACTCATGCCTCTGGACTCCTCAGTAGATCTGTGTGAGGCCAGATAAGAAAAGAAAGGAGACACCAACTGGACAAGGGGAGTTTTACTTCCTGTAATTGAAAACCACAGACTGAGCCGACTAGAAGCAAGTACACAGCAATACTCCGAGTACACTGGGGCTTAACAGGTAAATATGGACTGTTTACTAAGTGACTGTGGTAAAAGCTGCAATAATAACTTCCAATACACTTGGAGGTTATTATGGGCCGACCTGCCACTGTCTGATCGATGGATGCTTTTTCCCCGTTTAATTCAAATCAGGTATTCAGGTTGAGGTAGCTCAACCTACAGATTAAAATAACTCCAGACAAGCTGGCAGGATATTGATCTACTTCTAAATGAAAATGTTCAAAGTGTTGACACATTCTGAGGACAAAAACGGTCAAATAATGAATACAGTAAGATTACACAAAATCCTGAAATTGGGAATATTACGACTCATATTTGTGCAAAACTGGCGACCTTCAACACACAATAACCCCTCTGGGCCTGAACCCACCACCTGCACCCCCGCGTGCTCGTTGAGCATCACGGACGACGTGTTTGCGTGCACTTACTGCACGGGTCCCTTTGGGAGGAGCTGCTGTTGCTCAAATGGGTGGGAGCGTTTCGGTGGCGCTGTGGATCGTTGCGTTTCTCTGCTGTGTGTCATATGGTGAGCAGATTGTGTAACTGAACCGGAGAGATGCTGTTGGAATTCTTGTGCTCCGGTCATGCTCTCTCATCCACATCGCTGCCATGACTTTAAGCACAGATGCAGAGATGTCATGTAGTGATACAAGTAACTTCTCAAAAGAATAACAATTCAGTCAATCATTTACTGAGGAAATACTTTATCTACCCTGGGGTGTGAATGGCGGTGTGGATTGGTTTTTAGTCAAAAACGTATTTTGGATGGTTGAAGAATCTATGTTGAAATGTTCAAATTTAAGTTTTAGTCCACCACCTGTTTGTGACAAAAGAAAGGACAATAAGGATCTATAAGCCGGAGTTGTACTTTAATGCTAATATTAGCATGGCAACACACATACCCAGTGGTTTCCAAAACCTTTTTGTCTCGGCTCCCTTTGGGGATGTGAGACACAATTGCATTAGAATATACAAACTATGAAAAAAAATGTAATTCTAAAATAAGTACATATCAATTTACTGTTTCAACAGGTTTATATTTTGCAAACTAGGATTTAAAAATGGAGGTTATTCATTTATTACTTTTTATTCTCCGATTTGAATGTATTTCAGGCGCTTTACCTCATAAAATGAGGTCAGTTTAAATACCACTTTACATCAAAACTGATCTATTGCCTGATTTCATGTGGGTTCTTTCAGTCTTTAATCCATAATGTTATTAAATGTATACGTTTTAATATAAAAGTCTGAACACACGTCCCGTTCTCTGTTAACTTTTTTTTTTTTTTTTTACACCTCCGTGCTTTTCCTGCTTATCCAGTTTTTCATGTCACATTGCTCAAGGGAATTACCCACAAGTCCTTGCAAAGTCAACAGGCAATGCCGACATACAAACATTTTCCAGAGAGCCTCCAACGCTCTGCGGTGGGACGGAACTAAACCCCCGTGGAGTTAGCGGGAGCGCGCCTCAAAGTCTGTGAAATGGGGATTGGCACGTGTGCACGCTCGCACTAACGGGAAACACTGTTTGGTAACAGGGCTGCTCGTATTGCAAAACTGTACAAAGACAAAACACTAACCTCCATTTCTGGGTAAATTGTACTTTTGAAGAGAAATCGATGAGTTGCTGATGAGATTCACAGTCACGGGTCCTCAACATCCACTGCCATCACGCCAGAGACACAGAACAGGACATCTGCTCCAAACAAAGCAGGCGCTTGTCCAATCACAACCGTCCTTCAGGGTGTGCCATGTGTTCAGTTGGCGGGACATCGTCTCCTGCCGCTTCCAACACAAGACGCGTTAATGACGCGTTAGCAGCAGCAGGTGAAGACGGGGTGTGCTATGACACGTTTATGTATGTAGGGTAGGCCACGCGTGCACAAAGCACGTCTCTTAAACATGCGCCTTTCCAATGAAACCGACTAAAGAGAGGATGGCTGACACAATGACCCTCGACTTTGCCTTTTTGACCCGGCATGCAGCTCTACGAAGACGGCGACAGACAAGCAACGAGGAATGACGGACTCATCTGAGGCTTGTGACGGATTCAGGAGATAACGGCGCCGGGAAAGACTAATTCAATCGGACTGAGTGAGCAGCGATGGGGGAGCTTGGGCCGGAGGGAGAAGGACAAGACAGAGCATGGGTGAAGTGCAAGTGTGCTTTAGCATGTCCTCCGCTGTGAGGACGCCTAGAGTTCTTCTATCGAGCGATAATGACTACTCAATAGAGCGATGGTGACCCACCCCCCAGTTTGGGAACCACTGCCTTTATTTCTGCTACATGAAAGTTGCGGAGGACAGATACTGATCCGTGATCAGTATCTGTCTGTAGAGTACAAGTAAGTTACATTATTATTATTTTTCACTCAGCGACAGGGTTTGCACATGCAGTCAGCAGGGACAACATTATTAAAATAAATCTTTCCGCCGAGCGTGCGTGACAAATAAGCATGTAAATATGTTGCTTTATTGCATAGAGAACACTGAAGCTCCCTGGTTTCTCTCTCTTCACACACACACACACACACACACAAAAAGACAGACAGAGCGCAGCAAGGGGACAGGAAGAGAGGGAGGAGGGAGACGGACGAGGCACAGCTGAGAGGGTTCACGGGGTTGATGCGGACAAATAAGCAGAGAAAGAAAGAAGGGCGACAGAAAATGGGGCAAA